CCGTGCTGCATAAAGCTTCAGTGTTGTCCTCAACTAAAATCAGTTTATCAGCATCCAGTGATGTATAGCATGCAAAATTTGAACACCCTCTCCCCCCCCCCCGGTCATATTATAAGTTCCAGTGAATCCCTAAGTGGACAAAAGCTGACCCAACATCTGCATGGTTAAACGTGACAACTTTTTTGCAAATTTGAATGCAGACAATACTCTGTTCATGCACAGTTCTTTACAGATGCAAAATAAGATATTGGTGATTATGGCAGGTGCAGAAATTTGGACAATCTTTCAGCATATTCAGCGCCTTTTATTTTTTACTGTAAAGTTGCTGATGAGGCCCAAAAAGGTGATAGACTTGTTTGATTTGCAATTAACCAGATGAAAATTCCACAGGTGAACAAATACTCTCGACCGTTTTAATTTCTTGGGTTGTGACAGCTGTTCTGTCTATTTACAACTTCCATGGATTCCTCTAAGCAGCTGTCTGAGTATTTGAAAATGAAGATAATTCACTCTTATAAATCAGGAAGGCTATTAAAATATCTCTAAATGCTTCCAGCTAGCAATTTCATCTTTAAGAGAACGCTGTTAAGAAATGGAAGTTGTGCTGCAGTCAAAGCAAGATCTGGAAGTCAAGAAAAATTTCTTCTAGAACCACCTGAAAACTGGTCAGACCCACAAAACAGAACTGAGATTGGTGTAGTTGTCCATTGGCCACAACACTATTTATACAACAACACAATACAGGTAGTCCTCATTTAATGACCACTCAAAGTTATGACAGTGCCAAACGAGTGGTGGTTACGACCAGTCCTCAAAGTTCCAACTGTCCCAGCACCCCCATGGTCACGTGATCATGATCTGGGCATTTGGCAACTGGCTCACACAACAGTTGCAGCATCCTGCAGTCATGTGATCACCATTTATTTGCAAACTTCCCTGCAGGCTTCCCACAAGCAAAGTCAATGGGGAAGCCACCAGGAGGTTGCAAGTGGCTCTGGTAAGTTGCTCACGCTCTCCCCCACCCAACAGCAGCCACCCTGGGCCCTGGCATGCTTGTGTCGCACCTCTCCACATACCCTCCTCCACCTGGCAGCAGCCACTTACCTGCCACCTGGGACTCGCTTAACAACCCATGATCCTCACTTAACGATGGAAACAGGGAATGCCAAGATTGCCGCCGCTAAGCAATGCGGTCACATGACATCGTGCTTTATGACTGTATTGCTTAGTGACTGAAATTCTAGTCCTAATTGCCATTGTTAAGTGAGGACTACCTGTATGAGAGAGTTGTCAGAAAGAAATCTTTTCTCCAATCTCATCACCAAAGCCATTGTTGGAGATATGGAAAAGAAAATCAGTATTTATTTATTCAATTTGTATGGCTGCCCATCTCAACAAGTGAATCTGGGCAGTGAACAATCTTAAAATAAATTAAAACCAATTCCCATCACAAAATAGAAAAATTAAAATACACAGCAGCCGAGCAATATATCACAGTCGATTGTCGTTAGCACAGCCAGGAGACAAGACCTTTCACACACTCGGGGCTCCAAGCCTGGGCACAGAACCAAGTCTTTAGGGCCTTATGAAAGGCCAGCAGGGTTGGAGCCATCCTAATCTCTTTATAATCTTATCATAAGCTCCAAATGTTTTGGAATAAAGTACTTTGGACTGACGAAACAAAATCTGTTCTGACACAACCACACACGATACATTTGGAGAAAAGCGGATGAAGCATTTGAAGAAAAGAACTTCCTAACTGTTAAGCTCAGCAATGGCTCTGTTGTGGCGTGAGACTGTGAAGCAACCGCTGGTGCAAGAAACTTTGTGCAGGTGGAACAAAGAATGAATTCAACTAAATTCAGTGCCCCCATATTGTAGAAGCAAATATTCCCCAGCCCATGAAGAAACTGAAGCTGAAAAGAGGTTGAACATTTCATCAAGACAATAATTTGAAAATACCTCCAAATCAATCATGAATTACTGGCAAGAAAGAAGATAAAGGTTTTGCAATGGTGTTCATAGTCCCCAGACTTAACTATGATTGAGAATCTATAAGGAGATCTCAGCATGCCATCTGTGCAAGGAGACCTAGGAATATTTCTGAGCTAAAACAGTTCTGCAAGGAAGAGTAAGGAAAAAATCCTAAAAGTCAGAATAGAAAAGATTCCTGTGAGCTATAGGAAACGTTCTGAAGTTGTTATTTCTGCTAAAGGAGGTGCTACATTCTGAAAGAGCCTCCACTGCACTTGCCATATTAACTGATTTCTTATTTTGAATACACAGACAACTGCAGATTAATAATATGTGTGCAGCCTGTATCTTTGTGGAAAGATGTCATGTTTACTTTTGCATTGTACAGAGGTTGTGCCTGCTTCTGTTCACCTGGGGATTCATTGAAACATGCAGTTTGACCGGGAGGAGGGGGCTAAGCTTCTGCTTGCAATTGTAGTACGCTCAATTTTAAATGTGAAGGACAACCAGCAGGTAACTGCCTGGAGGAAAGGGACAAGGCTAGTTTTCTAACTCTACCATGTGGCATTTTTGCCTACCAGCCATGCACTGCTCTTCATAAAACACAGGACATAAATAAAGTCCAAACCAGATAACAGAAGGTGCACCCACAACATCCTGATGGGCAGAGGCTCCTGCAGGCTGAGGGTGGGGATCATCCACTTGCTCTCTGCCCTCTATGGCAACTGGATACTAATGACATGTCTTTTATCTGCTAGCCAAGGGGCACCTTTTCTGGCTTTGTTCTCAGAGTTTTAATGCAGACGGTTACTGAGGGTAGACAAACACAACCAAAGTGAAGAAGAGATCATTTTCCACCATTCACCCAACGGATTTTGGAGTCTTGTTCAATTTATTATCACACAGGCCATCTGCACAGAAACTAGAAAAATGTGAATGTCATTTCCACTAATTTGTATTCAATATCACATCTTAAAAGGACGAAATTCTGACCTAAAGGATCTGTCTGGCTCCTCAGATTTTGTCGTTTGTCCGTGCTGCATAAAGCTTCAGTGTTGTCTTCTCTTGCCAAGTTTGCGGTAATCTCACTGGCTTTAAGAGAGCACCTCCCATGAAAGATGCCAATGAGATGCTCAGCAGCTCAACAAACACCCAGTTTTCTATGCAAGAAGCATGGAAAGCAACTGTCCTGCCCATATTTCCCATGCTGGGAGCAGCCACATGAATCCACAACAGGAGATTGCTTCAGTTGTCTACCACCTTTCTCATGAACCACATTTCTTCAGCACTCAAGGGTTTCAAATTGTAGCCTTTCAGTTCCGGCTTACCTTCAGGAAGAATGAGGAGACATTAAATCATCATAAAGAACCTGGGTCTCCCCACTCCTAATCCAATATGTCACTCCCTAAACATATTGGATCTGGGACTGAGAGGGAGGCCCCAACTCTGCTAGGTGTCTCTGTGTGTAATGGTATGTGGGAATGACCTTGGGGGCAGGGGGAAGAGATGCTGCCTAGGGAACAATCAGATAAAGGGGGGGGGGGGAACCCACAGCTGCATAATGGGCAGGGAAAGAAACTCAGAAAGGAACCCCCCTAACTTATCATGCTGTAAAAAGAGAGGGTGGGAGATCTGTACTTTCAGACTTGCAAGATTCTGTTAATGTCGCCTTACAATAAAGTAGAATTAGCTCATCTGGTTGTGTTTCCTGTCTGATCTACCTGGGAAGGCTGACGCTATGGCTGGAGGTGGGGGGACTTGGACCTGGCTCTTCTTGCTCCTAATTTAGCACTTTCACCACAGCAACACACTGTCTTTTGGGCTGAGAGGGAGGGACTGGCCCAAAGTCCCCCACGAGTTTCGATGGTTGAACAAGGACTAGAACCCAGGTCTCCCTCCACCTAGTCCAGCCCCTTCCATACTGGCCCACATCATCTCTGGGGCTGAGAGGGAGGAACTGGCCCAGAACCACCCAGGGAACTTCTGTGACTGAGGGGGGAACCAGAACCTGGGTTTCCCTGCTCCTAGTCCAGCGCCTTCCCCTGTGGCTCTTCCCCACATGGCTCTTAGGGAGTATCTTACTGCCTTAAGATTGGAGGGAAGGAGATCTTAATTGTGCCATTAAAAGTTCAAGTTGGAATCAAGCAGCACCAAGCAAGATAAGGTACTATTCATACAATTAGCAAGTTTAAAAGTAAAAGAAAACCCAGAACACGCAGGTTCCACCTGTAATCAAGTTATATAGCCAGTCTGGCACCTACCTTGGGCCTCCAAGAGGTTGTTGACTTTCACTTTGAGTTCCTTCTGCAATTTCGTGATTTCTTCATCCAAGAGCTCTTGATCTGGAAAAAAAGGAGAGGAGTAAGATTTGGCCATCTGTAAGATTTAAAACTCACACGGATGCCTACAAGAATGAATTCATAGCATCTCTTGCTTTCTCTTAGAAATACAACCATCATTATAAAAGTGCTTTTTCCTTATACCCCCCCAATACACACGCACACACAAAGTCCCCCCCCCAATACACACGCACACACAAAGT